CAGCACCAGGTTGGCCTTGGATTTTGTCTTCGGAGCTATGTGTAACAGCGCATTTCCGAAGGCAGTAGAACAATGCCTCTATAGAATTCTGAAAAACAAAAACAAAAAAAACCGTGGTCCTCAAAAATTTTATCTCCATCAAATTCCCTTTTGAAGGTAAAGGCAAACTGGGGGATGTTCTGAGCTGCCCGTGTTCAACAGCAGATACAATTTAAAAAAAAAATACAATAAAATAAATTTAATTTTAAATAATGCAGGCTTCTAGAATGTGGCCGTCAGGGCGTGAAGGGACCTTCAGGCCCCGGCCCCCGGCCCCCCGAGGCCGAGTGGTGGTGCAGGGTGGCCCTGTGCGTCTTCCCTCACCTGCACCTTCTGCTCCGTCCCGTTGTGCAATGTCAGGAAGTGTGTGAGAGCCACATCCTTCGCCGGGGCGGCTCAGACGGAATCTCTGCTTCACTGGGTGACCACTCAGAACAATAATAGCTGCCACCCTCTTCCTGAACTTAATAACAATGGCTCAACCGTTTACCCTCCGGGACACTTGTGACGAACAGCTTTTAGAAAGTTGTTTTGTTTTCTGTCTCCAAAAGCCACACTGCCCCAAGCGACAGGACAACCACCACCGGCCACTGTCAGGGACCAGGAACTGAGTCATGAGCCTCTCACCCGGGCGGCTTGAGCCACTGGGCTTTTCTTCTAAACGGGCAAAGAAGACCCAAAGAGTCTCCGAGGCAGACAGTTTCACTCGCTCTGCGCCGAAACTTGCACGCAGGCTTGTGCGTGTTCCTGCCTGGAACAGTGTCCTGGACACGGTCGCAACCAGGAGAAAAAGGCAGGAAGTTCACGGTGAATACTGACGTGACGGGGACCAGGGGCAGCTTTTATTTTCTGCTTTGTTCTTCTTGGTAGGAAGGATGTCAGAAAGAGAGCAAGGGTTGAGGGGTTGTAGGAATCCGGCCGAAGGGCCCCGTTGACGTGGACTGGGGCGCTGGCTTCGGGGCAGCCACTCCTGTGATGTGCCTGGAGCCGCCGGCCTCCCCTTGCTCACGCTCAGGCTGGCCCATCGGCTCTGCTCCTACTGCTTCCAACTGGTCCTTAATCTCCCAGGGAGGAGGGCCATTTCGGAAAGGCACAGAAGCCTAACAGCTCTTTCTGGAGTCAGACCCTCAGAGGAGGGTCACGTCCCCTTCCAAGTCAGAAAAGGAGTTTACGAGAAACCCAACTCCGAGCGTGGGAGACTCAGGCCTGAGGGGTGGAGCTGACCTGCCTTCCTCTGGCCTCACACCAGGCTCAGAGCACTACTCACCCCCGAGGACCAGAAGGTTCTCAGGATCGGGGGGCCAGAGAGCTGCTGACCTGACCCACACCCCCCCGGCCACGACAATTCTGTGGGCTCCTGAGGTAACTGAGGCACAGAAATCCACAGCCCAACGGGCAGAGACGAGAGAGACTGAGCACCAGGACATCTGCCCCCTTCCCGCCACCCCCAGGCACTACCGCCTAGAACCTTCTAGAATACTGCCCTTCACCCTCACCCACGTCTCCTCCTCCATCTTCCCTCCTTCCTTTTTCTCTTCTCATTCATTTCTCTTTCCTTCTTTCCTCTCTCTCCGTAGTCTTCCTCCCCCTCCGTCCATCTCCCTGTCCTCCATTCTCCTTCCCTGTCCTCCACTCTCCTTCCCTCCGTCCCCTGAGCAGCAGGTAGGACTGACTTATGTTGGCTAGCAGATGCAGTTGTTTTGTTCGGTGCCTGTTCCTTCCCAGTGAAGACAGACAGCAGTGGCAGAGGTGGGGGCTCCCCCACGCCAGCCACCCATCCGGGTGGGTGTTTTACATGTTGTAGGCTTTCCTGCCTTCGTTCCAGGTTGATAACCGCAAGGGCCAGATGCCATGGATGATCAGACGCCATTGACAACTGTGGGAAGGGGAAGGGGCCTCTCTCCCTGAGAGGTTACACCGCCCTGCCTCTGCATCCTCCTCGGGTGGGGTCCACCCTTCCCAGGGGTCCAACACCCAGTCAGGTCTGGACACACTTTCTGGGGTGGAGGCCCGGGTGTGAGTTCCACCTTCTGTAGTCCTCAGCTACCTTCATGCTCACAACAGGGGAGTGGAATGAAGGGACAGCCTTCCCTCCCCTGACTTTCTGGAAGTCTGAGAAAGGTGGAAAGAGAGCAAGGTCCTAGAGTGTGAGGCCCGCTCCTCTTCCTGACCCAAATGGGGCGGTCCCGTGCCACGATGCACAGACCCACCACCTGAGGTCCCTCTGCAAAGAACAGAGGTGGGGTGGCCCCTTGGTTTTGTCCAAAAAGACAGAAGCCCCAGCGAGAAGAGCAGAGGGAACCAAAGTAAGAAAGCAAGTCGAGCCTCGGGTGCTTCACTTGGCCACGTTTTTCAGGCTGGATTCTTACTTTACGAGCCTCACATTCTGGTGGTACTAAGCAGGCTCAGGTGTAAGGAATGAGTTATTTAGAAACTGTGGCTCGGTGCAGAAAAGAGTATGAGGTTTTGCCTCGACATGAAAAGAGGAACCAGGGTTAAAATAAGCAGCGAGGGGTCAGGACTGAGACCCGGTAGATCTGATTTCATCTCCTTGCACACATGCCTCAACATGCTCCTCAGGAGCCAACTACTCTTGTGATCGCAGGAAAGTGTCTCGTTTTTACAGGAAGGTGTTGTGTTTTTTACAGGAAGGTCTACCCTTTGGAGCGGAAACTTTCGCAGGCCGCCCGGGCCCCACAGATCCCTGCACCCTGGTTACCTGCTGTGGGCCACCCAGTGCTGGGGTTGGGAGCCCACCAGTCCAGCAGGGCCCCAGCTCTTCTAGGAAGCCTGCCTGCCCATGGCCCTGGCTGAGTGTGGCCTCAGGTCACCAGCTCTGTGCCCACGCTCTGACTGTGGCCGGGGCGGGGGGGAGCAGCTGCTCAGACACCTGGTTGACACGCTGGCCTGTGGCCCCTGAGTGGCCCGGGCAGAGAAAGCTGTTGGTGGTTGAGCCACCCAGGTCCCCTCTGGGGACCGGTAACTGAGAAGGACACCTGTCTCTGGGACAAGAGCAGACGGGCGGAGGACAGCTGAGGCGTGGCAGGACACACCCCAGTGCAGGGCCCCCAGCCCTCTGGTCCCAGGCCAGGCCTTCTCCCTCACGGGCCGCCCACTCCATATAGGGCTTAGCCAAAGTGAGTCTCCATTGTTTGACACCCCCAAAGCCTGACGATGCTCCAGATCCTGAAACCGCTGCGGGACAGGCAGCAACTCCCAGGAAGGCACATGGCCATGACCACAAGAGTACGGAGGTGAGAGGGGGACATGCCAGACGCGGTCGGTGCACGTTTGTGGGCCGTGGGTACAGCCACGTGTACAAGAAGCCACAGAGTCATGTCTTTTCCAGCTTAAGGCCTAGTCATACTTGAAGTCATCTTCACTTTGAAGGAATAGAAGAAACCACAAGGGGAAAAAAGATCAAAAGCATTGACCAACTTTTAACTTAAGAGAGTTGAGACTCCTTTCAGCAAACCACCTATCAAGGATGCCAGCCCAGCCAGGAAAGCTCACACCGTCCTAGACTCACAAAACACTGTGGGGGCCGCGCAGGCCCACTGCCTGCCCCACACAGGCCTCCCCTCAGGAGAGACCACCGTGCCCACGATAAGCAGCTGCCAAGGACCTGAAAGGACAATCTGATACCAGGGGTGCTGCCACTTATCCCTGGTGACCCGGCCAAGATGTGCGAAGGCCCCAGACATGCTAGAAACATTCAAATGGATATTCTTTAGATCCCGGGGCAGACACACATGGGGAAGGATGAAGAAGCCCAAAGGAACTCAGCCTGACCTCTACTGGGTGTAGTAATTCCAAATGAGCCCACACTGGGATCTCCCACAAGCCCCTGCATCAAAGAGCCCCAGCTGCTGGAGAAGGCAGCTTCGAGAGCCCCTGGGCTGCTTCCAGCACCCTCTTTGGGTCTCACTCTCTGACCGGGTGGCTCACTGAAGTGATTCCTTTGACCCCCATCATCTTCCCAGACGTGTTCTACTCCACACACCTTCTCCCACTTGACACATTTCCAGTGACCGGTGCCCCCGGCACCTGCCTGTTGTCCTGCCCTCAACGGCATCCTAGCTCTGGACAAAATGCGTCCTTCCCTTCTCGTTTTGGAATCAGTGATCATGCCCCACCTTTCCTCCACTTTTACTTTCTTTTCCGCTAAACCCCACAGACCCTGTCGCTGCTCCTCCATGACATGGTGTCCCGACCCTGGTCTATCTTTCCTCTCTGCTGCCCACGTGGGTGGTGCCTCTTACCACGGTCATGACTCCTCTGCCCCTCCTGAGGACACCTCCTTTGTTCTGACCACCCGCCCTGCTCTCTTAATGCAGCCAGATAAAAATAGCTCCCCTGGCCTCCACACCACTTAGTTGGCATGCATTGTGGTCACACAGAGCCCGTGGTGTTTGTCATGCAAACTATGTGGGGGGTGGGCTTTCCAGACTTGGACTTGGAAAGACTTGCTGCGGCTGATTCTTTGTTAACGTTTAATGGCAAGTTTTACACACTTGGCCTCTAGACGGTGCCACCAGGTGCCATGAGCATCAGCCTTTGGCACAACAGGCGTCTACAAATGGAAAGGTACTGTTTTGTGCTAACCCGCTGGGCGATCATCTAGTCCCCCAGAAAAAACTGGTCTGCTCTCCTGTAAGTTCACCTTCTCTCCTTCCCGGCCCCCGGACCCTCACTCAGCTGAGCTCACTGAAGAAAATAATCAACAAGCTACAGTCCCTTTCCACTGTCTCTGGGCATCCTTCCCAATGGAGTGGGGTCACAGCTTACCCTCCAAGCAACCCCCACCCCCAGACTTCTGGGGAGAAAGAGGCTCAGCCAGGCCCTCATGTCCAGGCTGTTTGGGGCACAAGCTTTCTTTCCCCTCTTCTTCAACTTTGTCACTTTCTCTGCCAACACCGGCTCCACTCAGGGTCAGATGTCCAGGTTGATAAAGGGCTTACCTGGACAGTGAATTTATCATCTTCATTGGGCAGGATCCTGTATGTGTAAACACAATTCCGGTACCTGAAATAGACCAAAGGCTTCGTTAGAACCCATGCAAAGGAATTCATTTCTCTGGGAACTGAAAAGACAGGAATTCCTGACATGGCTCGAGGAACCCGGGCATGACGTCTCTGAACTTTGGAGCTGACCATTCTGAGGTGAAGATCGGCCTCGACATCAAGCAGTCCTGGACTGAGCCCCCTTCCCTCCGCCCCCCACCCTCCACTCAGGAAGCTCCAGGAAAAGGCGTGTGGGGTCTTCTGGGCATGATTTACATTGGCACTTGACAGCTACGTGGTCTGATTTAAAGGAACCCACCCTCAAGACATAACTTCGGGTGCCTGGCACTTCACTCCACATTTGTATGTGTTGTTTAACTAGATTTTATTTTATTTTATTATTATTATTTTTTAAGTAGGCTCCATGCCCAGCATGGAGCCCAGTGTGGGTCTTGAACTCACGACCTTGAGATCAAGACCTGAGCTGAGATCAAGAGTCAGATGTTTAACTGACAGAGCCCCCCAGGCACCCCTGTTTAACAAGTATTTAAAGTTATACACTAGTTTAAGGGCCCCTGGGTGGCGCAGTCCGTTAAGCGTCTGCCTTCCGCTCAGGTCATGATCTCAGGGTCCTGGGATGGAGCCCCGTGCTGGGCTCCCTGCTCAGCGGGGAGCCTGCTTCTCCCTCTCCCTCTGCTGCTCCCCCTGCTTGTGCTCTCCCTCTCTCTCTGCCCCTCCCCCCAACTCAGGCTCACTCTCTCTCTCAAATAAATAAATAAATCTTTTTAAAAACTTAAATAAAATTATACACTAGTTTAAACAATTTAAAACCATAAAGATAAAAGATGGAAAAGAAATGTCTCCTTCTCCCCCTCCTGCTGAGCCCCGCTTCTCCGAATTACCACTCCTTTTTGTAAATCATTCCAGAACTCTTAAATGTACAAACTTAAATATACACATCTTTTTAAATGCACATAATATCACAGTATATATGTTGTTCTGAAATTTGCTTTCCTCACCAAAAAACGTATCTTACAGGTCTTCCCAACTCACGTTCCACCACGTGGTTGTATGATCATTTATTTGACCGGCCTGCCATGACGGATGGGTAGTTACTTTCAGCTTTTTACTCTCCTAAACAGTGCTGCAGTGTGCACCTCCATGCCTACACCTTGTGTGACTGGTAAAGGCACAGATCCAGCCTCCCTGTCAGTACAACGGGGACCAGAACAACACCAGCCACCTGTCACTGCATCAGCTAAGTGAGTTAACGTAGGAAGAGCATTTACAGTAGGGCCTGGAACACGCTGGGCACTGCACGTGCTGACATTTATTAGTGGCCGTGGGGAGATCACCACCAGGAGAAAAGCCGCAAGAGAGACGCAGGCTTTGTATTTTGAGAGACTGATGATCGCCTCCCAGCGAGGCTGTGTCACTTTTCTCTCCCACTAACCGGATATGTCTGTTTCCCCACACCCTGCCAACAGGCTGCTATCAGACATTTTCATCTTTGCAAATCTGAGAGGTTAAAGAAAAATGAGTACTCACTTTAATCTGCCTTTCTTTATGAGAAAGGTTGACCGTGCTCCCATGTTTCACTATTCGTCTTTCTTTTTTTTTTTTTTTAAAGATTTTATTTATTTATTTGAGAGAGAGAGAGAATGAGAGATAGAGAGCACGAGAGGGAAGAGGGTCAGAGGGAGAAGCAGACTCCCTGCCGAGCAGGGAGTCCGATGTGGGACTCAATCCCGGGACTCCAGGATCATGACCTGAGCCGAAGGCAGTCGCTTAACCAACTGAGCCACCCAGGCGCCCTCACTATTCGTCTTTCTTTTTCTGCAAATTTCTTTTCATGTGTTTGGCTTACCTTTTTTTTTTTTAATCATCTTTTGCTTATTTATCTGTAAGACTTTGATACATGCCACAATATATTTTGGAGTTTTGTTTTTTTGTTGTTGTTTTTTAAGATTTTTATTTATTTGACAGAGGGAGACACAGGGAGAGAGGGAACCCAAGCAGGGGGAGCAGGAGAGGGGGAAGCAGGCCTCCCACAGAGCGGGGGGAGCCCGATGCGGGGCTTGATCCCAGGACCCTGGGATCTTAATGACTGAGCCACCCAGGCGCCCCTTGGAGTTACTTATTGTTGACGGTGCTCATGGAATTTTTTTTTTCTTTTTAAGCTGTGTAGAGGTTTTACGATTTTATGTGGTCAAGTTTTACAATCTTTTTTTGGCTTGTAAGCCAATGGCTGTTTCAAGAAAGTTTTGGAGAAGTTTTGGGTAATTTCACTTCCACCCGGCTCTTCACTTCTCACAGGGAAGTTTCTTTTTTCTTTCTCTCACCTCTGAACGCTCATCGCCCCCCACCCTGTCCTGCCTCCAGAGCCTGAGCTGATGCCACAACTGACGTATTTCAGAGCCGGCAAGGATGACTCTCTAGGCCGCTGTCACCTCACCTCCCGGAGATGTCCCAGAACCGGGGACCCCGGCCCCACTGCCTCCCTCCCCAGCCCCTCCAGCCTCAGCCCTCTCTGCAGAGCCTGAGGGGTAGCCCCACCCTGCTAGGCTCTTATCTTTCACTGCTTGTTCTCGTGACACTTCCTCCCATAGATATGCAAATGAGACCAGGGCCTGAACAGTCTTATTTGGCTGAGGGCAGCTAATTTGTGGAAGCAGTTGAGCAGGCCCCAAACATCAGCCTGTCAACAAAAAGAAGAGGGTCACCAGGAGAGGGGCAGAGACATTTGCACGGAACAGGAAGGCCCCTTCGTTCATCAAGTGTTGCAGACCAGCCCTTCGGGCTTTTTAAAGAAGTTCCAGGAACCCTGAAACGCAGAAACAGTTCCGTGTGACTCAAACAGATCAGAATTCAAAAGCGAGTACAATAGGAAGAGAGGACACTCCCCCTTAGACAGGGATATCTCAGCAGCGGCCACACAGGGGGCCCGGACTCACCATCTCTGGAGCTGGGTCAGTTCACGTCTTTGAGGGAAAATGTACAAGGTCACCACCGCCACCCCCAGCCCACAGGAGATCAGCTGTTCCAGACCTCATGCCAGGGAGGAATGGGGGCTCTGCAGACAGGTGGAGGGGGGCGCTCCCTGGCCTCCCCCAATCCTCGGCAGCTGTACCTCCCTCTTGTCCCAGATGCATAAACGTGTACACAGAGAACACGCGTATATATATCTACACACACGTGCGCACACACAGATCCGTAACCTACATGTATACACATGGGCGCGCAATCTGACACGTGAAACGTGTAGTGAAGATTCCACAACGAAATCCTCTTTGACAGCAACTGCCCTAGAATGTAATCCAGACAACGCGCTATGACCGTCTCGTCCAGCCCTTCCCAGCTCTTTGCGGGGATTTAGTAACAGTTTAGGGTGCTAACCCCTTAGGTCCTTGGCTGCTACTCTTTCCAGTGACTGGGGTGCATTTCAGGGCAATTGTGTCAGGAATAGCCCCACTGGAGACCCAGGTGGGGATGGTGCTGGGCCAGGTACGTGGGCCGCTGATCTACTCTCCAGTGAAATGGGGCTTAGAGCAAATGTCCCACGTGACTCTGAATTGCTGCCTGGTGACAGCAGGTGCCCACTCTGTCCTAAGTGGGAAGATGCTTCCCCTGGGCAGGGCATTTCCAGATCAATCCTAATATGGTTTGGAAGTTTTACTTGAATGCAAGAGGACAAGCCAGTGGAAGCAGAAAGCAACACCGTGGCATTTTTAATATCTCAGATAAATACTACTATTTCTGCATGTCTACTCCCAGCCAAGTGAACACTGACAAGCATGCCCAGAAACACTGTCTACCACGGTGAGCCCCATGGGGGGCGGGGGTAGGATGGGACAGAGAAATCAAACTCTAAAATTCAAGAGCCTCATTAGCGTCTCTGTCTCACGCTGCCGATCAGCTTAGCGTGCTCTATAATTGTTTTTAAGCCCCTGTGTAATTCTTATTATCTATCAGTTCTAATTTCTAGTGTTATTTGTACTTTTTTTTTTTTTCATTTGAGAGAGAGAGAATGAGAGATAGAGAGCACGAGAGGGAAGAGCGTCAGAGGGAGAAGCAGACTCCCTGCTGAGCAGGGAGCCCGATGTGGGACTCGATCCGGGGACTCCAGGATCATGACCTGAGCCGAAGGCAGTCGCTTAACCAACTGAGCCACCCAGGCGCCCTGTACATTTTTTTTTCTTGCTTAAATGTTGTAGACTTCTGGACAAGATGGTGTGGGTGGGAGAACAAGGGGTAGAAACCCTGCATTCAAAAAAGCCACTTGGACCGATATAGAGACAAGGGAAAATGTCCGTCAGCCCTAGAAACCAAGGGTGTTCTCTATTCACCACCAAAACCTCAAAGAATCCAGCCAGAGAGAGTCAGAAAATGGATGAATTACAAGAGGCCGTTAGTTCAGAAGAGAGAAGGTGAGAGGAGGCCATGTGGCCAAATGAAAGGTGGAGGGCAGGCAGCCAGAGTGCTGTTGGGGGTCTGCTGAGCGCCCTGCCCCAGCAGCTAGGGGCCCAGCACATTGGTCCTTGTATGAGACCCTGGCTCTTAGCCCCAACAGCTGGATCTCCGATCGGGGCTCCCACCCCCATCCCTGCTGGTCCTTTTTTGTCTGGGAAGAGGATGCGGGCAGAAACCTACCCTGCTCTCCAAAAGAATCTGTTCCAACTTTTCCTGACATTTCTTTGTCAGAAAAGAAAAATCACCAGACCTATGAAAACACTGCACCACTCCAAAGAAGGGCATCATTTTTCTAAGGGCTTAAAGGTGTTACTTCCATGTTTCGTAGAATCACTGCACGAAGAATAAAAGACATTCTGGCGAAATCTGACTTGTGAACTCAGTCCACCATTCCATCTCCGGCACGGGAGAGATCGATTGTAAAGACCGAGCAGCGTGAGACAAGGAAAAGTGATAAGGGGAAGGGAAAACCCAGGAGTTCACGAGTCAGCAAGAAACACCACAAGAGAGGAGATAAACAGCAGCTTGTGTCCTGGAGAATGCTAATGAGGA